ACACAACACAACACAACACAACACAACACAACACAACACAACACAACCCAACACAACACAACATAAGACAATACAACACCAACACCAACACCAAAACCAACACCAACACATCTTTATCTTCATTTGCTTCTTCAGCTACATAATCACCCACACCTTCGCTATTATATTAAGTGTTTAAATTTACATTGCTCTTTGTCTTTATATTTAGGTTTCTTTACTTTTATTTTAATCTTTGCCTTTATCCCTTTCTTCTTCTCCATATTTAACCTTAACTTCTTCCTTGTATTAGTCGTAATCTATTCATGTACATACATAAATCTTATTCCTAAACTGCTGCTTAAAACGTTTCCTTAATTCGGTATGAATATTAAAGCATACATTTAGGAGGCATTTCCGGCCCAACCATGTACATGAATGGCATTGGTATTGGTGTCAGTTTTGAATTGATTTTTTCGCTTTATTTTAATCTAATTTGAAATTTGAAAAAATGTCTGCACATCAGCATCAAAATACCTTTCTAATGATATACATATACTTATTACCTTAGATGTATAGTTTAGCCGTAAAAGGGGCGTAAAGAAAACATGATTGCCTATTTATGTATAAGATATGTTCCGCTTAACTAGGTTTGAACCTGGACGCTCTGATCGCAACCAGTGTTGCCATTTTGGTGCTTTTGGATCTAGATTTAGCTCTTCATTTTTATTTTTAGCTCCGAAAGTTGGGCTTTAGCTCCTAGCTCTTTTTTTAGCTCTTTTCAAAATTATCTAGCACTTTTTTAGCTCCAGAAAGTTTTAGTTGTGTTTGGTAATATATTAAAATTACAAGTGTTGACAAAAATTTATTTGGCTTTGGCGATCTCAGGCTATTTTCGATACCTTCATATTATTCTATTTCGATTAATACTTAGAAAACTTCCATTCCTAATGCAAATGGCGCGCAAGCAAATTGAAAATGGGCAAATAAGTCAATTAATTTATGCAACGTGCGCAGGAGCACACAAACTATACCGGACAGTAATTCGAGCTCCGATAAGCTCAGACGGTGTATTCTCTCTCAGGTGGCCACGGTAGAAAAGTAAACCCAAAACTTAAGCATTTATAAAATTACAAATTTCGAAATTCAGGGGAAAAACATACATTTGTATCCAAGGGAAAATACAGACTGCATGGATCTAGGTAAATGAATTCAAAAATTAATTAGAAGAAAATTGTTTTTCTGAACGCGCGGATTTTGTTTTTTCTTACCAATTTTACATTTAAGGAGAGAAGGAAGTAAAACTTAAGAAAAAAAATTTCGAAAAAATTATTCGTAACCCGAGTTTTTATGGTCAATTCAAATATCTGAAATAGCAGATTTCAACAGTTTGTAAAGTATTTTTAGTTCATTGTCTAGTTTATATAAGTATGTGCATACATTTAAGTGTTATAACGAATTCGAAATATATACACCTTATCTTGATTTAAAAGTTTTTTTTTCCAACACTTAAACTTATAAAATTCGTTGTTCTTATTTAAATTGCGCAAAATGTGAAAACAACCTTACGTCAATAAATGCTCAACTTTAAAAAAAAAATCTAGATCTTCATTTTAGCTACTATTAGTATTATTTAGCTCTTTTTAGCTCCTTTTTTCGGCCGTTTTAGCTCCGAACGAAATGTTTCTCTGGCAACACTGGTCGCAACGAATTGTACTAGCAGGCATCTTTGCGCACTCAGCTACCGGCACAACATGTAACTGTGCTTTCAAATGTTGGTTTTGATTCAAGCCAAATTACGCGACTGGTACATTTGTTCAAATTTGTTTTTGCCATTTACAGAGTGGCGTTGTTTGGAAATTTTATTATTGGGCTGAAATCATTCTCTATAAAAATTTATGGACAACACCACCCTGTGACCGGTCGAACAAACTTATGTTTAAGTTGGTTTAAAAAAATACTTTTTCTGTTCAAAAATATCGAATGGCTAACATGGAAAAATGACGCTGTTTGAAAAAACCATGTTACTTTTTTCTTAGTGTAAATCGTCCCAAAAATAGATACTTTAAATTTAGTTGTTCGAAAACTTCCATGCTTTCTAAATGTGAATTGTATATAAATCAGCTTTAAAAAATTCCAATGTTTATAAATAAGATAGTTTTAGGACAATCATGAGCACTTTATATATATAAAAACGTTAAGATGAAGTATACACATATTGTAGTACCTATCGCCACTTGACACGAATTAAGGACGCGAGAGTGTTTTGATGGCAAAAAAGGACTTCTGAAAAAAAAATTTACAAAACTTCGGCGAAGAAAGATGCGTAAAAATAGACTTAGTATCATTCCCCAAAAACTCTTTGGAAAACTGTTACACCCTCGAACATAGTTAGTTGACAGCAAAAATAAGTTTACGCGTCTTTCTTCTCCGTTAACTATGTTAAGAGTCTTTCTTCGACGAAGTTTTTTTGCGGTCAACTTTTGAGCTCGCATTGTTTTTCGTGTCTAGTGACGATATGTACATATGTACATAAGATACATAAGTTTTCTAAAACAAATTACAAAGAAATGTTCGCTCTCACAAAATAAAACATCTCAGCATAAAAAAAAAACACAGGATTATGATGGTATGATTTTTAATCCTGAATTTACTGATCTTCAATATGTATTTAAGTCAACTTCAAAAAATTCAATTGTTTATAGCTATCTTTATGATAATCATGGGCACCTTACATATGGAAATATTAAGGCCGTTTTTTATATATTATATGTATATACATACATATGTATATAGTTCATTTAGAGAACCTAAAGAACCTAAAGAATGCCTCATATACATATATGCATATATGTATGTATATGTATTAAAGCAGTAAGCGTACAAACATTTGGTGGACCACTACCTAAAATTAAATACTTATACAATATCTACCTTTGCTACAAATTGTATTCTAAATATACCTAACAAAACATCGCTTGTATCACTAAATCTTACATAATAAAAATACATATCTTTGTGTTTGCTGCTGTTCCGATTTAGAAATGTCTTTAAAATACTATATAGCCCTATTTATACTTGAACAAATCTTTAGAAGTTACTTATACATATATACCTACAAACATAGAGTGCATAGAAACATACATTTATTCACATTGAAATACTTTGTGTACATAGTTTTATTTTTACGGACAACGAATTATGTCCAATTTGAATTTACATCACTCCGTAGCTGCATTATTTGATTGGGTGGAGCTCGTGTATCTCATTCCAGTACTGCTGTGTCATGACGCGTCGACGTGTTGACGCGCTAGCTCCACCGCTGTTGCGGCAATATTCGGACACTGTTAATGAGAAATTTTAACAGAGAATGAATTAGTGGCAGATTTACTGGCAATCATTTTCATATTTGCATTTACAACAATCACTATGTTTTGTCTCCCCACACGCTTCAATGGGACTAGTTTAATTCAATTTTATTGATAGAATAGTTCTGAAATGTTTGTGCAAAGTTTCAGATCGAGCAATCGATTCGATTGCAAAACCGCCTATCTTAGGACACTCAAATTTTACAGGAGCGCGAAAAAACGGGTTTTCTTTGAAGGCATTGCCTTGATAGGCGGTATTTTCTCTAGCTTTTATTTTACAAATCTGTTGTTTTAATAACGATTTTGCGATTCTTATGCATGTCATGCAATGTCATATTTTTCACATTCGCGAATGCGAATGCGAATGTTAGGAATAACATTAAAAAAGCTATAATCAACTTAAGTCATCGTTTTTATTACTTAAAAATTTTATAAATTATTAGAACATTGAACGAGTGCTTAACCTATCAGTGTTTTAATCTAGTAGTCAAAGTTCAATAGGGGCATATTATATTTAAACAAGTAAGAAAGTTTGGGCGGAGCCGAACATTAAATATCCGGCGCAAGTATTAAATATATGTTTTCCACCTTTCCGAAAACTACCACTACATTGTAAGCCGGGGTGCTTTTACCCCTATTTTAAACATCTTCGATAGAACGTTCAGTTAGACATAATGAGATAAACTTATATAGTCATATGTGGGCAAACAATGTTACTTCTTTTCAAGGGATTGTTTTTAGTATCAATTTTGAGTAAATTAGCGTCCTTAAATTTCGAAATATTGAAGTTTCAAGCATTTCTGAAATTTACCTTTATATGAAAAGCCGCCGTAATTTTAGTCCGATTTCAATAATTTTCAACGTTATGCTTTTGTCTGGATAGCACAATAACCATACCGAGTTTGGTACAAATTGGTACGACGGTTGCCGAGATACATATATCTGATCATAAGTGGGAGGTGCAGCGCCCATTTTCCAAAATTTTACCATAAATGCATTTCCTGGTAAAGAATTGTTGCAAGCATCAATTTTGAATAAATTAGCTTTAATATTTACTGATTTATCGAGTATTTCGTATTTCTCTAAATTACCCTTATATGGGATGTGGACGTGGTTACTGTCCGATTTTAAAATTTTTCGGTCATTTGGTATGGTGTATCAAGGCCAACTGTGCCAAGTTTTGAAGAAATTGGTGCAACGGCTACCAAGATATACACATGTGGCCACGCCCATTTTCCAAAAATTGATAATATTGTTATTTTTCGTCTAAAAGTTGATTGTAAATATCAATTTTGAGTGAATAATCTTCAGTAATTACTAAAATATCGCAGTTTTCATATTTCTGAAAATTACCGTTATATGGGAGGTCGGCGTGGTTATTGTACGATTTTGCCCATTTTCAATACCATCTGTCCTACGCCCGAAAGAAGTGCACATACCAAGTTTCGTTAAGATATCTCAATTTTTACTCGAGTTATCGTGTGCACAGACGGACGGACGGACGGACGGACAGACAGTCACCGCTTAATCGATTTCTCTTTTCATTCTGATCATTTATGTATACATTTGTTTATATCTATCTCGATTCGTTTTGCCTGTTACAAACAACCGTTATGTGCACAAGTGCGCTCGGGTATAAAAAGTTCTGAAAGGGGCGAATGCAAAGTCGAATGGTTAAAAATTGTTCACATCAATGCTTAGATACATTGCAATAAAATATGTATGTACATATGTATGTATGTATACGCCCACAAACTTTTATTTGAATTATGTATAGACTTGTAAGGTTTCATGGGTTTCAAGAATTTACTGCCTTTTTACCTCCTGCACGGCATCAAAATGCCATTAGGCCACTAACTAATAAAAAGTGGGTTCGAAAACTCTCATTACAGTATTGCAATATGCTGAACTGAATTGAAGTACCATCTTGCCAAAAAAAATAGAGCTAAAGGACATCAAATTTTTTTATGTTTTACTTAAATATTGGTCCGCTCCTTGTCTTAATATTTACACAATTTTCATTTGCTATTTTTATACCCGGATTTACTTCAGTCTTATTTTCATTTGTAGTAGGTATGTGCATACGCATATCTCTGTATGTGCCAGTGTTGGCATTTTTGATACAATTTCGTTTGCAATATACTTTACGTTTTAGTACAGTTTTGTGATGAATACTAAAAATATATAGATCTGAAAATTCACAGCGGGATTTTTTTTTTATTCTTTTATTGTTTTCGCCTTTTCGTTTTTGCCTTTGTAAGTTTTGAAAAAATGTCTTCAACGGAGCATTATAACATAGCACATATGTATATAGATATGATTATCCAATTAGTTTTTAGAGACAGCTATCAGCTTCACAGTCCTAGGAAAATTTTGGAAAAACATTTTCGATTGTAAGTCTTATTAAAAGAAAATGTATAAATCAGCTTCATTTAGAATCAATGCCTTCGTTAATTAAGATAAATGATTTTCTTAAATATCATAACTTTACGACACTCACATATTGACAAGGTTTGACTTTTTATTTTTTAATTTTAATAATTTGTTTATAAAAGTATAGTTTATTCCTTAAAAAAAAAATCTACAAACTTTCGTAAAGATTTCGAGCTTCTTATTTATTTTTTTTTTATATTTTGCAGTTTTGTCGCCCATTCAATTTCAGTATAATAAAGTGCATGTTTAAAGTAGTTGGAACTTGCCGTTGATTTTTGGCGTTTTTTTTTTGTTGCTGATGTCAGTCGTTTTCTTCCATATCATATCTAAGTATGCGGCAAGACGCAGCTACTTTAAACTTGCACTTTGTTACATTAAAATAGAATGGGGTACAAAACTACGTACTCAAAATATTTGTAGGAAATCTAATTAAAAAGCTGGAAATTTTTATGAAAGTTTGTTGTTTTTTTTTAATGTTGCACAAGGATTGAAGCTTGGATTTATACGGTTTTTGTTAAAGTATAAACTGTATTTTTATAAAGATGTAATAAAAATTAAATAACATGAGAATAAATAGTCAAATCTTGTCAATATATGAGGGTCATAAAGTTTTGATAAGCACTTGAAATGCTGTTAAAATATCACGTTTTAGTCCCCAATTCAAATGTCTCTTTTATCCATTAACAATAACCTAAAACAGCTTTTTGTTCAGAAGTGTACCTGTAAATATGTGCATAGACATTTTTGTTAAAAGTGTAAAATATGTACGGACATAATCTTTCCCATGAATACCATCAAATCATTGGCCTTGAAGGGAATGTATGTATGTATGCACGTACTAATAAAATATCTTAGCAAAATTAAAAAGTCGATACAATTTACAGTCGAAAAGTACAGTTTTTATATAGATTTCGTACTGAAGGAACAATTTCATTTCCCAACACTGGTATGTGCTTGTACATGCATAAATGTAGAGAAAGCTTTTCACTTGATTGTACGATCCCTTTATTTTATTTGTCCTTTACTCCTCGAGCTCTTCGGCACTGCATCAGGGATGAAAATGGAAATTTCAGATTGTACCTAATATCATAAAATAAATGCACCTAAATGAGACAGATTGTACCTAAAAAAAGTTACATCATTCGTATGTAATTTTTTAATAATATTTTTTAAAATATGAATAAAAAGGTGGATTTACTTTAAACTTGATTAGCTTTTTTTAACAGAGCTTATATCTACATCCAGAGTATAGTCTAATGGGAATCGGAGAAGCTTTGTTTTTGCCTAATTTTGACTAATGAAAAATATTGGCGAAATAGACCAAAAATACACTTTGCGAAGTTTACTTTTTTCCAGCTTTTTATAAAACAACTGGAAAAGTCTGCTAACTTATCCGATTCCCTTTAATAGCTGCAGCAAGCCTAGAGAAAATAATAGGAATTGCCGTAAGTATATTCGAAAGCAGTTTAAATATATTCCAGAAATCAAATAGCGAATATGGGTCAAATAGCTATTGCCTCAATTTGAGGCCCTCAACTACAGAAAATATGAAATTTGAATTTGAATAAAATTAATAGAAAAGTTAAAAAATGTTATCATAAGCGGGGAACTTTAGCTTTTATGGTTTCAATAGATTAAAAAATGCATTCCAACAATTGCAAAGGTAGAGCGTTCGTAGATTTCACACCGTCATTCGAGAGGGGAGTAAATCGGTCAAGGGCGCAATGGCGTTTTATGGAAGAAATTAATTCCAATTTCGATTATAATAAATATAACAAAAATTACGAATTTTAGGATATCTAAGTAAAGTGTTAATTTTTCATAGTGGCTGTTCTAAATGCAATGTAAAATGTTTAAGAGAATTCTTAATATGATTTTGTTAATTCCTTCCTTCCGAAAAAGGTACAATGCAATGTAAAATGTTTAAGAGAATACTTAATATGATTTTGTTAATTTCTTCCTTCGGAAAAAGGTACAATTGTACCTACTTCTTTATCCTTGCACTGCATTACTCTTAGGGAATGTCGAAAGAGGAGCCAAAATGTTCACGAGCGACATGCCCTTTATATTTTATTTACGGCGGAAAACAGTTGTAAACATGAAAAATATTTAATTATCCCTTTGTTTCTGTGCAAACACATCTAAATGCAGCAAGCAGAAGTCTCCAGGCGTCTCTGAGATCTGAGCGAAGGATACATTTTTAAATGTCAACCGCATTGTTCTTCAAACAACTGCCGAATCAAAGTTTATTCTGAAAAAAATGGGAGCAATCAAAGTCCTAATTGCATGAAACAAAAACATATGAAATTATCTTATGCAAATATGTAAATATACAGTAGCGGCCACCTTAATCCCGAGACTGATTGCTTTGTTGCTTTTAATATAAATATAGTTCATCCTGCAACAATCAAGGATGTAAAGTATGTGTAAAATTTTTATTACGCATTTTAAGATAAATTTAGGTATGTAGTATTGTACTTTATTGAATTTTGGTAGATAACGTGCAAAGGCCTCTGTGAATTAAGGTAACGATATGTACAAAT